CCCCCTCACCCATCCACCCCCTCTTCTAGAAGACTGCATATACATGGTTCTCCTGCTGCCTGATTTATTGTGAATGAATGCAGGTCATTGGCTTGGGATGGACACGCATGACTGTGATACAGTGCTGCTGAGCGAACCACTACAAGCAGGAGTGGTAAGCATCCCACCGCAAGAGTAGGAGAAGAAAGGAGGGCTGTAAACGACTCACAGAGAATCAAAGCAAAGGACCATAAAGAGATTGAAGTTCGAGAGTTAACAATCATGAAGAGATTTTTTCCCTATCCCTTCCCGAATCCCTATACTATTTAAAACTGTAGACTGCCCGACGTGACGCTTCCCAGCGGGCCCAAGGAAATTCGGTGCCGCGCGAAACGTCAGGTCCCAAGGAAATTCGGTGCCGCCCAAGGAAATTCGGTGCCGCACGAAACATCGGGCCCACTCTGCACGTTGGTGTTCTCACTGTAAATCGGAGGGGCGAGTCACGTCGGGCCCAGACGGACTCGCTGCCGTGCGCCGGGCTGAAAATGGAAGCGCGTATGGAAAATGGACGAAAGCGCAGCGTGTCGCGTCGGGCCCAGGCGGACTCGCTGCCGCGCGCCTCGCACTTGGAAGGGAGAAGACAAACGCAGTCGTTTCTTTTTTTTTTAATCCCCGCCTTTTGGGTGGTTTTTTGCATGCTACTATTCGGGCGCCGTCGGAGAGTGGGAGCAGGAGGTTGTGTGAGGGGGAGGAGGAGGTTGTACAAGCGGGAGGAGGAGGTTGTGCAAGCGGGAGGAGGAGGTTGTGCAAGCGGGAGGAGGAGGTTGTGCAAGCGGGAGGAGGAGGTCGGAAGAGGGGAAGAACGACATCGCACAAGGGGGAGGAGGTAGGAAGAGAGATTGGAGGAGGTGGCACGAGGGGGAGGAGGAGGTCTCACAAGGAGGAGGTCGTGTGAGGGAAAGCGGACGTTGCGCAAGGGAGAGGAGGTCGGAATAGAGGTGGGAGGAGGTCGTGCGAGGTGGATGAGGAGGGGGAAGATGACGCGTGAGGGGAAGGAGGAGGTCGCACAAGGATTAGGAGGTCGCGCGAAGGGAGGAGGGTCGGAAGAGAGGGAGGAAGTCGCACGAGGGGGAGGAGGGGGTAGCACGAGGGGTAGGAGGAGGTCGCACGAGGGGGAGGAGGAGGTCGCACGGAGGTTGCGTTAGGGGGAGGAGGAGATCGGAAGACGGAGTGGGAGGGGGAGGAGCACTTCGCACAAGGACAAGCAAGAGGTTGCACAAGGGGGAAGAGGAGGTGGCACAAGGGAGAGGAGGAGGTCGGAAGAGGGGGAAGTGCAGGCCGCACGAGGAGGACGAGAGGTTGCAGTGGAGGTCGGAAGGGAGGTTGGAGGAGGTTGCGCGAGTGGTTTGAGGAGGCCGGACGAGGACACATGAGCGGGAGGAGGTGGCATAAGGAGGAGGAGGAGGAGCTGGATGAGGTCGCAAGAGAGGTGTGAGAAGGTCGCGCGAGGGGGAGGAGGACGCTGTGCAAGGGGGAGGAGTGGGTCGTGGGAGGGGTAGGAACAGGTCACACGCTGGGGATGAGAGGTTGCGGGAGGTCATGCGACAGGGGAAGGAGGAGGTCGTGCTAGGGGGAGGATTTTGTGCGAGCGGGAGGGGGTCGTGAGGGAGGACGAGGACGTCGCGATAGGGGGAGGAGGTTGCACACACATCTCTCTCTCTCTCTCTCTCGTCTCTCTCTCTCTCTCTCTCTCTTACGGCGAAAAGAGAGAGAGAGAGAGAGAGAGAGAGAGAGAGAGAGAGAGAGAGAGAGAGAGAGAGAGAGGAGAGAGAGAGAGAGAGAGAGAGAGAGAGAGAGAGAGAGAGAGAGAGAGAGAGAGAGAGAGAGAGAGAGAGGGGGGGGGGGGGGGGGGGGGGAGAGAGAGAGAGAGAGAGAGAGAGAGAGAGAGAGAGAGAGAGAGAGAGAGAGAGAGAGAAGAGAGAGAGAGAGAGAGAGAGAGAGAGAGAGAGAGAGAGAGAGAGAGAGAGAGAGGACTGCCAGATCTTCCTCCAAATGTCGAGAAGATGCCATTGGCCTTTTTTTGGGGGGTGGTAATTGGCCAAATACCCCCATAAGTTGGGATATATGTCAAAATGTCCCTGAAAATTGGGCGTTTTTTTTGCAATTGCACCCACCAAAAGTTGGCAACTACCGGGGCATTTTGCAAAGTTGGACGGTGTCTGGCAGGGTACATTGCAAAGATGGGGTCCAACCGATGTCTGGGGTGTTTTGCAAAATGTTTTTGCTGTCATCCTTGACCGCAGCGTAGCTGCAGGAGGTCCACTTGTTGTTATAAAAATTAATCAAGAACTGACAAGAAGTGAAAAAAAAACAAAAAAAACTGAAAGGAAGCGAAATACCAGGTAGGAGGAAAAAGGGAGGGAAGCAAAAGAACTGGTAATGACGGAAATCATTGAAGTTTTGAAACTGTTATGTTCCTGCCACTTCCTGGGTATTTTGCAGTGCAAAAACTGAAAGAAAGAACATGCCGTTCCCTTGCAAGTGGAATGGAAGAAATTGGAAAGAGAAGTAGACAAATGAAGAAGAAGAGAAATAAATGGAAGGAGATGAAGAAGATGAACACCGGCAACGACCAACATAAACCCCCCTTCAACTTGCCACCATCTTCATCCTCCAATAACTTCCCCAACATCTCAATAATAATAATACCAATGAAAGAAAATGAACCAGAACCAATGTCCGAACCGAATCCTCCCCTTGCTGCCTGCCTGTCAAAACTTCCCCATCATCTCAATAACAATAATACCAATGAAAGAATTAACCAGTATGTCCGAACCGAATCCTCCCCTTACTGCCTGCAATCAAAAGGTGCACCTCCTTCTCCTTCTTGGTATAGCTGGCGGCTATGGCAGACCCAGATGCAGCTATGAAGACCGTGCATTCTATTAAGGGGAAATGTGAGACCTGTACATACTTCCAGCTAGGGGTGCGAATGGAATCCTAGAGTCCTAGCCAGAGGTGCAGCATTGAGTCTGAATCACTGGAGGTGCAGGCAAGTCAACCATGGCCACAGGGCGCACAGAAATCTATTTCCAGACGCATCCAAGGCCTACTGGATCATTCAGCCTCGGGTTGAGGCCAGATCTCAGCCGCTCAGATCTGAGAATCTCAGAGTTCTGGTACCGGAAGAAAGAAGCAGCACAGCAAAGGAGGAAGGTCCGCCGAGCTGTTGGTCATTGATTCTGCGTTGTGTGTGTGACTAGAGCGCTTCTGCCTGCTGAGCGCCAGTGCTGACAGCAGGCAGAGAGTGAGAGACAGGGAGAGAAGACAGTGGGTGGGAGATAACCGTAGATAGAAGTACACGGTCCTCATGCACCACAAGAGAGAGAGAGAGAGAGAGAGAGAGAGAGAGAGAGAGAGAGAGAGAGAGAGAGAGAGAGAGAGAGAGTACATTGGCTAGGAGCTCCGGGAGTGGGGCACAACCTCATAAGCAGTATTTGATAGAATGGTGACTTGTTGAGGTGGCAAGTCGAGGTAAAGGAGCCCGGAGATCGAAAAGCGAGAAGGGAGACAAGACATTGCACCGTCTGGTTACTTTCTTGAGTTATTCTTCTTCTCCCGCTCTTCTTCAAGTTCTGTTTGGTCGTTGCACTAACACTGCTATCCCTTTGCTTGGTGTCATTTGTTGAGCATTGATGCATTTTCTTATGATGATGATATGCTGCTGCTGCTGATGATGATGAAGCTGATGCTGATGCTGATGCTGATGCTGATGCTGATGCTGATGCTGATGCTGATGCTGCTGCTGATGATGATGACGATGATGATTTGAGCTTCCAGAGTTCGCTTCATTACGACTAGTGGTAATTTGTAAGATGAACTGAAAGTTAAGATCTGCAGCTGCTGTTATTGGCCATTTTGAAAAAAACTTCTGATCTTTTTATTACTCCTTGAGTCCTTGTGGATCATCTGCTGATGCATACTTTTTTTTTTGTGTTTGGCAGATATTGACGATCGAGCCGGGGCTTTACTTTCCGGATGATCCTGATATTCCTTCTGAGTAAGTGGCCAATTAGTTCCTTTTTGCTTCCTGCTTGCTTCACTTTTGCACCTGCCTTGTAACTGAATCTTGTACGCACATGTAATCATTGTAATGGTTTGTCAACAGATCAGGAGTTCGAATCACTAATGGTTTGCTGCAATCACGAGACTGTGCTAATCGCTGCTGGTGGTGCGAAGGACTGTTAGCGCACAGGTGCTGGCCTTCTGGTTGTTATTGCTGGGAGGCTGAGACTGTGGCAGCATCTGCATTAGAGAGAGAGAACACACACACACACRCACACACACACACACACACACACACACACACACACACACACACACACACACACACACACACACACACACACACACGTCTGGAATCGGAACAGACAAAATACTCACATGCCACCCCAATACTAACTCGCAAAGCCGCTAAAAATCGGCTAAAGGGCCTTGGCAAAGGGTTAGGACCTTGGCCGCCTAGTCCGCCGGGCGAGCAACAGTTCACTTAGGGATCACTCTGGCAGACATGCTGCTGGTCCGCCAAGGGGGACGTGGCAAATAATGTTTTTGAGGTGGAGGTTGAGGTTGTCGGATAGGGGCTAACACCCTTTTTTATATACAAAACTTAGATTAGAAAAGAAGTCACTTCATTGGGCCTTTTTTCCCTCTTCTCAGAGATCTTGGGCGATCTATCCCCTCTCTCTCTTTCCAGTTCACTCTTTGTTACATCTTCGAGTCACACGGGTCCTACCGGACCCGACTTAGGGCCGGAGGGACACACCAGGGCCTAAAGGCCCGACCTTTGAGGGTCACAGGCCCTAAAGGCCTGATTTTGCACTCAGCCCAGCGGGTAGGCCCAAACGACACTTTGTTTGGGCCTGGC